TACTGCCACGTGCTAGACAATCTGATACTTGGTGGTAATTTTCCATGGGCCAAAATTCGTCGGAAGCCACACAGATTTGATCTTCAAATGCACCAATGCACACATTTTTTTTCATTTTGCTTGTTTTTATACACCATACATTTACTTTTACCCAAATAAACCATGACCAATTAGAAAAGAAGAATTTTACAAGCAAAAAAGGGGGAAATAAAAAGCAGAAGGGTTTTATTTTTTGAAGGGGGTAAGCCCTTTTTAGGCACCGGAAAGGGACCATACTGGATCCCATCTTCATCTCCCACAACTTGCCACCTGCAGACAAACACTCAAGGGTTTCAAGACCAACAAGAGCTCAAATTTTCAATGAAAATGGCAGCAAAATCTATGTATTTGTCAAAACTAATATATACTGAAAACAACATTGATGGGAAAATTTCGAAAACTTTGCTAAATATTCACAGTTATCCTCAACCAGCCTTCATTTCAAAGAAACTGGGACCTGATATATATATATTTAATTCCCTTCTTTAGCGGATAATCATTTGAGAATAAACAACTTCTTTCAAATCTCTGATATTTTAAACAAGCGATGAAATAGACGACAAAGTAGCAAATGGTGTGGCGCAAAAGTTGCAGATCAAAAGCTGTGGTTTCAAATGAGGTCCATGCTCTGTATAGCTTGGAAAACCCTACATCAATGTCTTTTAGCCATTCCATCCAAACCTACCAGCTGTCTAAATTCCATCTTCCTAACTGGGACAGACACAGAATTTTACATTAACGTGTGATTTGTGAACTTCAGGATTTATAGTAAAAACTTAAGAAATGCAAAGTTACAAAATTTCATGGATGTCATCAACATAAAATACAAAGAAAATAATAAATTATAAAAAAAATTAAAACTTTTAGGATTGTGACTATACCTCCATCATCTCTCTATCTATTTTGTTCTTAAGATCAAAACCTAGTAGCTGACTAAAATCCATCGTCTTCTTAAATAAGAATGACTCAGTATTTTATGTTAAGCTATGAATTTGGTAATTTATAGTAAAAAATAGATGTAAAATTATAAATTTTTAAGGTGTGAAACTAAATAATTAATAAAAAATAAACAAAATATTTAAATCATAAGAAAGTTTGAACCCGCCATCTCCCTAGGATCAAACCCTTTAAGCAACTCAAAAGTTTATCTTAATCTGTTCATGAGATTAGAGAGATACGAGGAAGGACAAGATGAGAGGATTCAATCATGTATTTCAGAACCAGACCGGTTAACGAACCGGTCATGCTATCGGTTAACTGGTTCAACCGGTCGAACCGGTTCGACCGGTCGAAAAAACAGGACGACGTCATAATTATTTAAAAAATTAAATAAAAATATCAAAAATATTTAATAAAAAAATAATTTTGTATATTACAAGTCATATTCAAAGCAAGTCATAACATATATAAGTTAAAAACTATAAAATCAAGTGAAACAAAATGATTCAAATTAACTACAACATAATATTTAAGGTAAAACATATTAAATAATAAATATAATTATATAACTATAATTAAAAAAATAAATTTGGGACTAAAAAAATCATAATAAAATGATATTGTTTGGTTTAATTTTTTTTTTTTAAAAAAATAATCTCACATGGTTAAGAAACATAGAAGAGCATCCCAAAAGTCTAAAGAGTAAAAATATGAGAACAAAACAATCTCACATGACTAAGAAACATAGAAGAACATCCCAACTAACTTCTATAAATAATAGAGGTAATTTGGCATTCAAAATCATGGAGCCTTTTGGTGAGCATTGAGTGAACTATTCTTTCACTTCAATCAAGCTCGAATTTTTAGGCTTCAATTGAGCTTTTAATTTTTTTTTTGAGTTCAAGCCTTTTCGAGTTCAAGTTTCAATATTATATTTCGAGTTCAAGTTATCAAGTTCAAGTTGAACTTGATAATTTTTAGTTCGTGAGTTTGAGTCGAGTTGAGCTTACTTTTAAAGTTTTCAAGTTCGAGTCGAGCTCAGTAATACTCGAGTAAGACTTAGCTCGTTTAACAAACGACGTCATTTGGTTTAATTTTAAAAAAAAACAAAATTAACGATTTTTTCCGATTTTTCGGGTTTTCAGCCGGGCCGGTTTGAACGGTTCAGCGGTTCCGGCCGGTTCACTAGTAGCGGTTCAATCGATGTAGATTGAACTGGACTAGACAGCGATTCTCGATTGAACCAGACTAGACAACGATTCTCAATTAACTGGTTGAACCAACCGGTACGATTTTCAAAACACCGGATTCAATGGTTTTGAATCCTGATGTGGACATCAGATTGTCTCAAAAACATGGACGGTCCCAATCGGTTTTGTAATAATAGTTCATGATTAATAGAGGGTCCCACACATGCATTCCAGATTGTGGACAAAGCAAATTTGGTTTGTCATTTCTAGTTCCTCAATATCTTCATTTGAAAACCTAAATCTATAGTAACTTTTGTCTATCATCAGACTTTTCTCAATCTTCTATTATTATGTAATCCAACATTGGATTCTCTCTGTTAAGCACGTTGTCACATAAAACTGAGTTTGGATAAACACTTTTTTTTTTCAAAAGGTTTGGTGTTGTCTTTCATGGAATATGGTAAGAGAATGTTGCGGATGGTAGCCACCTGTATGGGTCACTTACATACCACTGTGGAAAACCCTGTCCTAAAATTGGATTCAAATATCCAATTTGATTTACAAAACTCTGTGTACTAAATATAAAAGGTTTTTATGTCTGTCCGGTTATTAAAATTATACGACTCGCATTTGAACTCCTATATTTATAGGATACGTATGTATTATTAATGATTAAAAATATTTAAATATATATTATTTTATAATCATTATAAATTATTTATGCATTACTTTTAAAATTAAATTCAAAACTAAAGTTCTATTAAAATTAAAATCGAATTAGGAAATCATACAGACAAATCCACCGGTTCCACTGCATTCTCTGCTAAAGAACACAAAGTAAAAGGACCGCTCTAAGTTACCCTATTTTAGTTAATTGCGAGTAGACAAAATACTTTAAACAAAATCTTTCATTTACACCGATCTACGTAGCTTTGTTTTTCATCTTACGTTTTCAAAAACAAGAAGCAATGGTGATGTCGTTGAGTTGGAAGAGAATAGACACATGATTTTACGATAATAATAAATTTATAAATTTTAAAGAGAGGAATTTATGAAATTTTTAAAGAGATAAAATAGATTATTAATAAAAAAAATGTAAATGGAAATGCTTGGATCTATCCCTGAGTTAGAGGATTAAAATAAAAAAATAATGGTGAGAAATGGGAACCTGTAAGTAGTGGTGAGATGGTGGAGAAGAACCAGCATCTCAAGCTTAGCCAGCTCACTACCTGGACAAGAGTGAACACCATTGCCGAATGGAATAAATGTCGGTGTCACCTGCAAAACATCACCGAAAGGAACAAAACTTTCAGCACACGATTTTATTGTGATCATACTGTTCTTTTTCTGGTTTCAACTACCATGATTTTCTTGAAATTTGATGCATATTTGAATTACAGGATGTAAGGATTCGAGTTCGAACAACTATATTTGTAGGATGCGTACGTTGATAGTTGGATAATATTGTGAAACCAAATTCTAGGGTTACTAGGCTACAAGATGAGCTCACGTGCCTATGAAACAAGAAAGATTTCATGAACCGCTTGAGAAGACGGTAAACAAATGAAAAGGACGGTACAGGAAGAGCAAAAATCAGAGAAACCATTTATAACCTTTTATTTGTGTCAAAAACCGGATAGTGGATGACCCACTTCAGGAATCTTGGTATGGGATTCCAAATGTTTCATTTTATCAGTCTTTTGAAAACCGGACCGGCCGGTTCAACCGGGAACCACTGTCTAGTCCGGTTCAAATTACACCGGTTAAACCGTTATTAGTGAACCGGCCGGAACCGTTGAACCGTTCGAACCGGACCGGCTAAAAACCGGAAAAAACCGAAAATTTTGTTTTTTTTAAATTAAACCAAACGACGTCGTTTGTTAAACGAGCCAAATCGAACTCAAATATTGCTGAACTCAACTCAAACTTTAAAAGTGAGCTCAACTCGACTCAAACTCACGAACTAAAAATTATCAAGTTCAACTCAAACTCGAAATATAATATTGAAACTTGAACTCAGAAAAGGCTTGAACTCAAAAAAAATTTAGAAGCTCGATTGAAGCCTAAAATTCGAGCTTGATTGAAGTGAAAGAATAGTTCACTCAATGCTCACCAAAAGGCTCCATGATTTTGAATGCCAAATTACCTCTATTATTTATAGAAGTTAGTTGGGATGCTCTTCTATGTTTCTTAGTCATGTGAGATTGTTTTGTTCTCATATTTTTACTCTTTAGACTTTTGTGATGCTCTTCTATGTTTCTTAGTCATTTGAGATTGTTTTTTTTTTTAAAAAATTAAACCAAACAATATCATTTTGTTATATTTTTTTAGTCCCAAATTTATTTTTTTAATTATAGTTATATAATTATATTTATTATTTAATATGTTTTACCTTAAATATTATGTTGTAGTTAATTTGAATCATTTTGTTTCACTTAATTTTATGGTTTTTAACTTATATATGTTATGACTTGCTTTGAATATGACTTGTGATATACAAAATTATTTTTTATTAAATATTTTTGGTATTTTTATTTAATTTTTTAAATAATTATGACGTCATCCGGTTCTTCTGACCGGTCGAACCGATTCGACCGATTGAACCAGTGAACCGATAGCATGACCGGTTCGCTAACCGGTCCGATTCTGAAAAACCATGCATTTTATAGATATGTCATGTTTGGAAGGTCAACATATATTGGTGAGTAAAATATCAATTCTATGAACCCATATTATTTCTTAAAATACTATGTTTAAGCATTTGCATCTTTTAAGGAATGCGTGAACTATAAAAGATCTTAAACAAATATTATCTTATAATCACCTAGAATATTAAAAAAATATCAGTTTTATTTTAGATAACTTATTTGGTTTAATGCTAGGCCTCACCTCGAATCTTGAAGGGTCGAATTTCTCAGGTTGAGGAAAGAAATCTGCAAAATGATGAATGGTTCTGAAGAGAGGAAGAACTTTCCAACCTTTTGGGATATGATAGCCTTCAAACTCAACATCTTGCACTGCTTCTCTGAACGTGAATGATAGAATACTTGCTCTTCTTAGAGTCTCTTGAATCACCTGTATGTCAGTTTAGTTAATTCAGATATTTCAGTTCAAAGCCTGCACGAGATAATTGTTATTTCTAGAGGTTTTGAATTTGAACAATAACATTTGTAAAGATATTTGAACGTTTATTGTAAAAAATGAGAATGTACCCTTGTAGTCAATGGCATGTGCCTTGTATCATCCCACGCAAGCCTGCGGTTTTCTTCAATTATTCTGCGTTGAATAGCATCTTGTTCTCTCTGCAACATATGATTGAAATTGAATATATATATATTTGACTGCATTCTTTTCTATTTTTTCTGGTGAAATGATCAACACATCAGCAAGCCGCAGAGAAAAAAATTATTGTGACTGTTTCTAGTAAATCTTCATTGTCGTGCAAGTACTTCAAAACCCAGGTTAAAACGCTTTCAGTGGTGTCATTGTTGAATCAAAATAGAGTAAAAACTCTAATTGATCGAGAAGAAAAAAAAAACTCTTTAGAATAATCTCACAAAATTGCAAAAGGGAAGAACTCTTAAGAAAGCTTTCAAATGCTTATAATTAAGCTTTGATTGTTGGATTATAAAACTCAAATACAAGTAGGGTATTTATAGGTTACAAGAAACAATCTAAACCACTCATTAAAATAAGCACTAAATAATCTAAACCATTGAAATTAAAACATGAGAAAAATACTTAATTTTCACCTAACTAAATTGATGTAAGCAATGACATCAAAACTAAATTGATGTAAGCAATGACATCAAATTAATTTAGGTGTGAACTTATTTAGGCTAATATTGAATTTTCAACACTCCCCCTCAATGTTAGCCTCCATTCTTTTGAATCACGCCATGCTGACGACGGAAATGTTCAAACTTTCCAACACTCAAGCTTTTTGTAAACAAGTCAGCAATTTGCTCATCTGTCTTGATTTGCCTCATCTCAATCTCTTCTTGCAAAACTTTTTCCCTAACAAAGTGGTAATGTACTTCCACATGTTTAGTTCTTGCATGAAAGACAGGATTCTCCGCCAGTCGAATTGTTGATTGGTTGTCACAATACAACGAAATTGCATAATCTACTGGTTGATGTAGATTATTCATCAACTGTATCAACCATGTACTCTCTTGAGCTGCCATTGCTGCTGCTCGATACTCAGCTTCAGTGGTTGACAATGATACCGTTGGTTGTCTTTTGCTACACCAAGAAATTGTTCCGGAGCCAAGCTTAAACACATATCCAGTTGTTGATCTCCTGGTGTCATGATCTCCTGCATAATCAGCATCACAATAACCAACTAACTTGCAGTCTTCACCTTTCTTGTACAAAAGACCATAGTCAATTGTATTCTTCACATATCTCAGTATTCGTCGAACTGCTTCCAAATGAGGCTTCTTTGGATTTTGCATATACCGACTCATCACACCAACTGCATAAGAAATGTCAAGTCGGGTCAAGGTTAAGTAGATCAGACTACCTACCAATTGTCGATACATTGTTGCATCTTCCAAAACTTTTCCTTCATGTGCACACATTTTGATATTTGGTTCCATTGGCGTTGAAGTTGACTTGCATTCGAGCATTCCAAACCTCTTCAACAAATCTTTAGCATATTTCTGTTGACATAGAAATAT